AACACTTCTCCCTCTCCTACTAAAGAGGCTGACACTGAAGCCATGTTGAGAACCATCTTAGAAGCTCAGCAGAGGCAAGAGAAGCATATTGGATTTGAGTTGAGAAACCTCAACACAAAGATTGATGGAGCTTATGGTGAGCTTAACAACAAGTTTAAAGCCTTGGAGAATCAGTTCTCTTCTATGACCTCCACCTCTCAACGCCCAGGGAAAGAACATTGCAATGTTATCCTCTCCAATGCTACCCCTAAGTTTGACTTGACTGATCATAAGAGAGAGGTAGATGAGATTGAAAGACTATTGTATGGCTCTGAATTTGTGCAAGATGAGANAACATTGCAATGTTATCCTCTCCAATGCTACCCCTAAGTTTGACTTGACTGATCATAAGAGAGAGGTAGATGAGATTGAAAGACTATTGTATGGCTCTGAATTTGTGCAAGATGAGAACCAGAGTGTAGACACGGCTGATGTTCAGATTGTGGAGAAGGCTAAGGCTAAGGTCGTGGACAGTGGTAAACTCCAAGCTTTGGAGAAAGTTGCAACCAAGGTGGATCAAAAAGATAAGGCAGAGGTTGTGAAACAAGCTTCGCACAAGGCTGAGGTTCTGGTTGGTAATGAAGCTGTCCAGAAGTTGACAAAGGTTGGGATTGAAGGATTCAAAGAGTTTAAGCTTGAAGAAGACAAGGAGGTTCAGATATCTCCCTATGATAAACTCCCTTTCCCAAAGAGGATCATCACCAAAGCTCAAAAGAAGGTGATCTCCAAGTTTAGGAAGGAATTGAGTGTTGTTGGAATCAATCTCCCTAAGATCTCCAATATGCAAGAGGCTTGTGACAAGCTAGTGCTCATAAAAGACATTATCGCCAACAAAGAAAAGGTGACAGAGCTTCTTGACATCTCTTCCTCTTTGCTGGATCCTAAACCTCCACCAAAATCTCTACCCAAGCTAGAAGATCAAGGGAAGTTCATATTGCCTTGCTCCCTTGGTGATTTCAAAGTTGATGATGCTCTTGTGGATAGTGGAGTTTGTGTGAATGTGATCTCATTGGAGATGGTGCAGAGCTTGAAGATCAAAGGCATGGAGCCAAACAACTCCTCCCTCATGTTTGGGGATTCTTCTTCAACAACACCTATTGGTCTCATCAAGGACTTCCCTTTGAAGATTGGAGATTGCACCATCCCCATAGATCTCACTGTTCTTGATATGGCAAGCAAGAGGAGAATGTCATTGCTCTTAGGCACGCCCTTCCTTGCTACTGTGGGAGCTTGTATAGACTTCCCAAACAAGAAGGTGGTCCTCCACAATATCAACAAGGAAGTCTCCTATCCAATCAAATCACCAATGCTGAATGGAGGTTATTGTGGAACAATTTTGAAAGATGAATTGGTTTTTAAGTAGGAAGAAGTTCTTGGTGAAGGTTCCTCAAAGAAGAGTTATGTAGAGCACTTGGGAGATGCTACTAAAGAGAAGGTGAGTGAAGCTACTGAGCCTACTCAAAACAAGAAGAAGATGAAAGCTTCTCTATCTCCAAAGTTTGCCAAAATGCCACACACTCTCACACTACACCCTTTAAAGCTAAAGGATGGAGCCATTGAGTATAAGATCAAGTGCAAGGGAAGATCGAAGCCATTCTCAAGCGCCAGGGCATTATCTCTCCTAAACTCCAAGCTGATCCACTCAAGCTCCAAGAGCTCCTTACACACGTCCTCACCATCACCCTTGAAGGTGGGAAGGATCCTCCTTCTACATAGGTAAACAAAGGTAGTCAAGCTACGAGACTTTAAACAAGCTCACTTGGGAGGAATTCTCATGTTTATCTTTGTATATGTTGTTGTTCTTTTGTGTTGAATAAGGTCAGGAACAAGTTTGGGGGTCTCCTCAATATGCTCAAAGGTCATGCCCAAACACCAACAGCCACAACACTGCTCCTTCCCTCTTGAGGTATCACTCCAACCATTTTTTGTATATACCATTTCTTTTATCATATTTCGGTATCTTCTTCTCGCTTACTCACACAGAGACTGTGTGATTTAAGTTTGGGGGAGGTACCAAGTATTTGATCATGTTTTCTGTGTTGATTTCGAGTCTCATGCATTGTATTGCACATACATATATGCATAGAAAAATCAAAAAAAAAAAAATTGAAAAAATTCTAAAAAGAAACAAAAACAAGCATTTAGGTTGCATCATTTTCATGTTTAGGACTGAGTCAAGAAGCATTTAGATTGCATTCATGCATTTGGAGCTGACCTAATAAGGAAACACATGCTTAGAACTCAAAATCACACCCTAGGTGATCATAGCAAGTAGCATAAGCATCTCCTAAAAAGCTTGCATGCTTTGAGCCTTGAAAACTCATTCTTTAAACTTGTTGCTTGTGTGAGATCGGCATCCTCTTTAAACCAACTCCAAAATGAATTTAAAAGCTAAAATGAACTTAATTAGTCTTGCTTATGGACTCTTGCATGCTTGATCATGGATTATACACATTTGGGTTGGACTTACCCTTCATACCAATCTCTTTCCAACCCAAATGGCACTCCTTACCTTTAGACCCTTACCATTCTTTGAAACCTAAATCATTTTGCTTATGTGAGGTCTCTTTTGATAGCTTGTCATGTGCAAAAACTTGAGAGTATTAGGGGCGACATTGGTTGTTCTTATCTCAGGCTAGCTATAGGACCTCTTGAGAGCTAGCAATTAGGATGGGAAATTTGGTATTGTGATGCAAAAGAGTTTATCTTGGGTCTTGGGGTGTTAGATGAGTGAAAAGAATGAAATAAAAGAAAGAAAAACAAAAGAAAACCACTAGGGATNTTGGTATTGTGATGCAAAAGAGTTTATCTTGGGTCTTGGGGTGTTAGATGAGTGAAAAGAATGAAATAAAAGAAAGAAAAACAAAAGAAAACCACTAGGGATCAAAAGAAAAAGAAACAAAAGCTCTAGAAACTTCAAATAAGAAACCCCTTAGGCTAAGAAAAGAAAGAAAGAAAAGAGTCTCTAAAAGACTTTGGGGGAAGACATAAGAAAAATAAGAGTAGAGCTTAAGTAAAAAGTGAAAGAAAAATTCCCTAGTTGGTTCAAAAGAAAAGAAAAGAGAATGAATTCATTGGGTGAGTGAAATAAGAGAGTGATCTTAATGTTTTTGGGAATGAATGGGTTTGAAATTTACACCAAGGAAAATGGTAGAGTTTGAAGTTGTCTAGGAAAAGGGTAGATTGATAAGAACAAGCAATGTATGCATAAGTTGCTCCTTTTCTTAGATAGATTTTGCATAATGATCAAGATCCTATTCTTGAGTGTAAGCCACTAAAAAGAAATGTATTGAAACCCCTCCTCTATTCTCATTTAGCCATTTCACTTACCAAGCCAAATGATTGAGATCAAGTTTCCATTTGCAAGACTTCACCTTATTGCTTATGCTTAATTGAATGTGAGAGTTGGTTGAAAAGATTTGTTGATTGGTGATCCACAACTTGTCTAAAAGAAAGAGTCTTGATAGGCCTTGTGAAGATAGACTGTAATAATTGAGGTTGCTTATGCTATAGGTTATGTTTGTCTAGGATGTGGTTTTGAGTTTAAGAAGTGTATCCTTTGGTTTTGAGCTCCCATTTTCATTCTCTCTTTCTCTGATCTTAATTAAATACTTGAGGACAAGTAAAGGAGTAGTTTGGGGGAGTTGATATGATGCATATTTTACATAGTTTTAACATTTCATTTTGTACATAAATCATCATATAGATTTAGGTTTAGGCATCTTTAGGTCCATATTGCATTCATATGTCCTTATTAGGTTTGGAGTAGTGCTAATGATGATTTGGAGCCTAGAGAATCACATAAAGTCCAAAGGAGTGAGAGTAGTGCAGTAGCAGGCAACTGTAGCAGGCTAAAGATGGCCGCGACGTCGCCGCAGGCAACCGTAGCAGGATATAGATGGCCGCGGCGTCGCCGCAGGCAATCGTAGCAGGATATCGATGCCCGCGATAGTGTTACGACGAATTGGACAGGAAGATTTCACAGGCTATTTCGCAGGATGTGAAGGCCGCGGCCAAAATGGGTGCATCGCAAGCTAGTGGCGCAGCCAAGAGGAGGTTGCGGCCGTGTGGATTTTAGCTTAATATAAATATGTATTAGACCTTAAGTGGATGATATCTTCTTTTCTCTCAAAAACACATTGAAAAGTTGAATCCTTGATTAATATAAGCTTTGTTTCTTGAGTAATTTGAGTGTATCTCTTCTTCTAATCATGATTAGTCTTCTATCCATCATGGGTTTAAGATTAAACATGAAGATTAGTGAGTAGACTCTCTTTGAGCTTATGGATTAGGGTGATTAGGGTGATTAAGTGATGATCTAGGTTGATTAGTGTTAGATCCTTCTTGTCCTATGCTTATTACTTATTCCCAATGCTAGATTAGACCTAATCCTTCTAAACTAGATCATTAGGCATTTCTTGCCCACAAGGTGTATGATGAAATGCTTGAACCAAAGTAATAATGCTTTTTGCTTACTTAACCAAGGATACTTCATGTTAGGAAGGCTTAGATGGTTAGTAGACTTGTTCTCAATGATTGCTTGATTGATTTAGACCAATGACCATTTGTGTTTAAAGATTGATAGCAAATGAGCTTTTACCTTGACCAAGGACTAGCTTAGAATTGTGTCTAGACCTATAGGATATGAATGATTGCTTGAAACATCACCCTCGATGGTAACTTGATCACCCAAAGTCAATACCCTTATCCATATGCTCTTTTATCTCATAGAAACCAAAGCTTAGTTATTCTTGTTTACATATTGCTTGTTACTAGTTAATTATAAAACAAACCCTCATTGATTGCATTTAGATTAAGCAATGTCTTGCATTCTCTTTGTTCAATAGCTCTCAGGATTGGATTGACACTCTACTTACCTTACTACATTGATTTGCTCTAAGGCTTAAAAACCCCTATCAAGCTTCGTTTTTGTTCGTCACCGGCCAGATCTACCGAGGTCTATGTCATCTCCGAAACGTATCATTATCAGACGAGATACAATCTCTCTGGCTCGTCATCACGACCCTCCGACGTTTTCCCTCTACACGGTCGCTCACTCCAATTTCAACAGCTGTTTCTCTTCCTCCATAACCGGATATCTTGTGCAAGAGTGTTGTTTCGCCAAATTTACTCAGTTTTATTTCATCGAAGCGTCTCTATCACACTACGCCATCTCAAGCATCGATGGTTCTTCACAAATCCGGGCCCGTGGTCCATCTAATCTTTTCATTGTTGAAACTACTGTGCAAGAGTATGGATTTGCCAGATTTGCTAGCTATTATGTCACTGCTGCGTCTCCATCACATTATGCCGTTTCAAACATCGACGGTTCTTCACACATTCAACTGTACTCGAGAAAAGAAATTGAGAAAGGACAACTAGCTCCTCAACTGCCATGTGCTCTCATTCCAATAACTCGGAGGAACACTCCAAAGTCTAGTGCAAGGAGACTCAACCATAGTGTAACACTCTGCCTCGTATTTGACGTTTTCCAAAGTGTCCTTATGAAGGCTAAGCTAGCTTTTGAGATTCACCTAGTCTCATTGAGAAGCTTTGTTGAGTTTAAAATTAACCGTGCCAACTTCAGTATCAAATCAAGTCAGATAGGAATTCTTCTTCTCGGTATTGTCCAAGGTTATGGAGCTTCTCACCAAAAGCTCTTGCCGGGCAACAATCCAACCGCTTCTTATTGGTGTATCAACGTCGACTTCGACTATCAATTGTTCTTACGAACAATCGCCTTAGGGATTAAGGTGAAACTTCTTCATGGGGTTCTTCATCTTGCTGAGCTTGTCTCGCCTCTTATAGGCTTTATCTTTCTATGTTTCCTAATGCTTTCTACTTGTGTTGTACCGTTGAGCATGCTTCCGGATTTTTCTAATCCAGTTGTAAACTTCAATGCTCTTTGAGCTTTCTAATATGAATTTGTGCTACAAAAAAAAACCTGACTTTCTCTTTCCTCCTCTTTTTTTTTTTTTTGTTACGAAACCAAGCAAGCTCTCTCCTCTTTTTTTCGTTACCAGAAAATATTTTTGTTTCCTATTCCAGTTATACTTCTCCAAATATTCAAACCCAAATATTAAAAAATCTAAAAAAAATCAAGAGAAGATCAGAGAAACTGAGGAGATCTAAGCTTGTAATAAAATTTATTTATTCTTGTGGTTATGGTTGGGGATTCGCTGTGGATGAGAAATTTAAGAGGATGGGTGAGCTCGGGATGTTAACTTCGGCGTTGCTGCTGTGGAGTTTTAAAGAGAGGATGAGTTCAGAATTCATCATAGGTGAGTTCGAGATCCGTCGTGATTAAGTTTGAGGAAGGTGTGCAGAGTTTGAGAGCTCGAGATTCGACATGGGAGAGCTCGGAATCCGTGGTGGGTGAGCTCATGATAGCTGATTCGGAGTTTCAGAGAGTGGGTGAGCTTGGAATTTACCGTGAGTTCGGGATCTGCCGTGAGTGAGTTCAGAGAAGCTGCAGTCGAGTTTCAGAGTGGACGAGCTCGAGATTTGCTGTGGATGAGCTTGGGATCTAACATGGATGAGCTTGTGATAGCTATCGTGGATCTAACTCTTTTATCTCTTTATGGATGGTCAATGTTGTGGCTGTAGTTTTTCCAGACTTTAAAAGCCAGAACTTTAAAAGAGAGTGGTTGATGAGAACATGTCTATTTCTCAGATCAGAGCGCATGACACAATCTCATATTAGAACGATGGATTCATGCTTTCCTTGTATTCACAGAATTTTTAAATTTTGGGTTTACTCGCGCTTTGGTTATCTTGGTTTATTGAAAGATATGAATTTGTTATAATGAAATTGTTAACATGAGTCTATGTCTATGTTTTCCTTCTCTTGTCCACATGAGTACATGACAAATGTAATGTGAACACAACTTAGACGGCCACAACTCAACTGACCCAAACAAAAATGATGATAAAAAGATATCTCTAATGTTTAAATTTCGAATACCTCCCGGTTTCAACAAGAACACAAGTAATGTCTTAGCCTCATTCTCATGTCAAGTGAAATATCTAAATCACTACTGCCACTCAAAACTAACTAAACCGGCTTGGAACTGTCCATCTTGGCGGTTTAAAAAAAAAGGATCGAAAGGCTTACAAGAATACAGCCAACATATTTTCAAGAGACATTCTAGTCACTTTTTTCGTATTATATAATTAATCGAATCCATTTAATATAATTTACTTCACTGGGAAGTGAGACAAATGTAATGTGAACATCGGGCTCTACTTGAGTCATCCACTCCTTTGGCTCGTCATCTTCTAGAACACAATCACACAACTGAGAAGAGACGGATTTACATTCATCATCATATATTAATATGAATCTTGAGTCTACCCGCGTCCACCTTGTGGTGGGGAGAGCTTGTTAAGTCCCAAACATGAGTGGTGCTTGTGCTTCCACCACACATGTAAGGGCAAGCCCGGCCCAGTTATATTAAAGACCTTGTGCTAAAAAATCTTCTTTTCCTAAGGATATTATTATAAATTAAAAATTAGAATCCTTATCTATACTATTTTTATAAATCAGGGTCTTAATTTCGTAAGAGAAATTATCACAAAATAGAGAGACCTAGTGCAAAAGCACCTTGTGCACTTGCCTTCAGCCGGTACTGTGTAAGAGTATGGAACACACTATCCTATGCAGTAGTTCTTGGTGAAAAAAGAAACGGAGATGCGGGGTATCAATCCCTGCACCTACCGCATGCTAATCGAGCACTCTACCATCTGAGATACATTCCCAGGGGTCCTATGAAGTACTTTCTCTGGTCATTCGTCAAATTGCTGCTTGAGGAGTTGAGTTGGATTGTTTCTGAGCACCAGAGAATTTTGAAGCCATATCTTTGTCTGCATAGCATCTGTACCCAAGAAATTAAGTAAAGTAAGATCTTAAACACACAACATATTACCATGGGAACATTTAACTGGCAAAGCACATTGTTGGACGAAACATGTAACAAATGGTAAGCAAGCAATAATCTTCTGCCATAAAAAAATAACTACTGGCATTGACATGGTGAGACAGTAAATGATTCAATAGGTCAAATTAAGTCTGGGCGTTTGTTACTGAATTAGATATCCGAACAATCTGATCCAAAAAATCTGAATCCGATTCAAACCGTTTTAAAAATAAATACTTGAATATAACCTAAGGGTTAGGCCCTTTCGATATTATATCTGATCCCAAACAGAAATCCAAAAGAGTATCCAGAAGTATCAAATTAATTAACTTATTAATCATTTTACATAACTTAAAAATAATTTAGATATATCAGAATATTTTTGAAGATTATGATATAAGCCAATCTTGAACTAAATCAACTTGATTCAGAATTTAAGAACAACTCAGATAAAATCTATTAACATGATATCAAAAATTCAATAAAACCTCAAAAACCCCAACGATTCCAAATGGCTAGGCCTAGGTCAAAGAAGTAGTCCATTGTGGAAAGACAAAAAAAACTTTGTGCCTTAGGACACCAATTAATGCATATCAAGAAGTTTACCAAGGAACATAATCACTTTGCTTCTGCAATCTTTGACGAGGAAGATAAAAGGATGATCAGCCACGAAGTCAGACTTCTTTTCCGTAGAACCACCACAGAGGTAACCGATTACAGCAGAAGCAGCTGGCCAGCTGCTGCAGATTTGTATCCCACTTCGTCAACGTAGATGCAAGACTTGTGGAAAGTCCTCTCCAATGGTAGATTCAAACCCTTTTTCAGAGCTTTAGACTTCGAAATCAAAAGCAAACTTAAACCTTGGAATATTGGGCTCTACTAAAATATTTTTAAAGGAAAAGGAAAAACTCAAAATATCGTAAAGAAAAAACCTTTGTTTTTGATAGCTATCATGCAATTTATCTGATGATCCCTATAGGGTTTCAGCAGAAATCTTTGAATCTATGGTGGCATTGTTGCAGAACCCTTATGTATCATTGGCTTGGCTCATAGTTGTGGGAACCGAAATTCACACTTGTCGATTTCCGTCAAATAAGGAAACTTACGAAAACCCTAATTTTCCAGAGGAACCGGATCTCTGCGAAAGCCAACGACAAGTAACCAAATAAATGCGGAAAAACATGAAAAACGTAATAAAACGAATTTAAAGAAAAAGTAGATCTTATTTTGATTTCGCGTAAAAGCGTTGCGATCGTTACAAGGGTTTACAAAGGCTTTGGCCGCAGGGCCGTCAGCGAGTTATCAACATAAAAACCTTAAACTTAATCGAGTCGCAGCTCGATAACAAAAGACGGAAAAAGATAAGAAAAAGGATTTGAATGATTTCGGACTGAACCTTGTGAAAGGCTGCCTACGTACCCCTTTCGAGGATCAAGTCGAACGTAGTTCAGTTGATTAAGCTGGACAAAAGATCGAACCGCCTGGGCGAGTTCGTCTACTGATTGAGCGCCAGTCATAGAAACCGAACTTGTCGAGAAAAAGCCTAAGTTTCTAAGTGCGGAAAATTCTATTTCTAGAAAAGTTGTGAAAGTCTCAGATGAGAGCTCTGAAAATCGTTCCTCTGCTTCTGCCCTATGCCTCTTGCTTATATACTCCCTTCCTAGGCGGTTTAGTCATTCCATTTCGCCCAGATTCGAGTTTAATGGGAATCTTCCATTTATCTCGATCTTTCATTTTTTCCCGCGGAAATCTTCTATTTATCCTCAAACTTGACATTTATCTTCAAGTTTGACATTTATCTTCTTTCTGCGAGTAAATCGCCAAAACGTCGTCGTATCTTCGGGTTGGACTTCATTTAAAGTCGCGAGTGGCTTTTATCGCGTTTTATGACATTCCGAGCCGTTTTGCGATAAATCCGTTTTACGACTTTAGACGAGATCTTTTCCTGATACGATGCCGTTTTTAGATAAGTTTCTCGAGTTAATCGTAAATCTAAGCAATGTTCGATGTTTCGATTATCGTTGCCGTTTTCTACGATTTACTCGGAGTTTTATTAAAAACGCGTTTTGTACGATTTTTACGAAAAATCTCGAATACATCGTATAGTTTAGGCAATATTTGGTGTTTCGTTTAACCGTTGCCGTTTTATACGATTTCCTCGAGTTCTTTTCGAGAAAACAAAGTTTTACGGTTTTTATCTTAAAACTCGAACGATAAGACGGATCGAGACGAAACGGGAGACATTTCGACCGTGATTCGGAATACGATCGTGTCGAAGGACGTATGCCTTGATTCAAGGATGTGGGAGATCAAGGTTCGAGATGGTCAGCTCGACGTACGGCGAGCTAGTTCAGCTTGGCCAGGTCGCCATATGGCAAACTAGGTGATAAAAACCTGTGGAGCAAGGTCAGTAGTTCGCCTGCTGGCGAACTAAGCCGGCTTGGATCAAAGATGTGGGAGATCGAGGTTCGAGATGGTCAGCTCGACGTACGGCGAGCTAGTTCAGCTTGGCCAGGTTGCCATATGGCGAACTAGGTGATAAAAACCTGTGGGTCAAGGTCAGTAGTTCGCCTGCTGGCGAACTAAGCCGGCCCGGCTTAGTTCGCCAGCAGGCGAACTAGTCAAGACTAGTTCGCGTTTTGCGGCGATTTCGGTTTTTCGCGGTTTTGTAAAACGATTTCTCGAGTTTTATAAAACGATTCTCGAGTTCTATAAAACGATTCTCGAGTTTTATAAAACGATTCTTGAGTTTTATAAAACGATCTTCGAGTATTATAAAACTACCTTCGAGTTTTATAAAACGGCTTCTCGAGTTTATAAAACGATCTTCGAGTTTTATAAAACGATCTTCGAGTTTTATAAAATGGCTTCTCGAGTTTTATATAACGATCTTCGAGTTTTATAAAACGGCTTCTCGAGTTTTATTAAACGATCTTCGAGTTTTATAAAACGGCTTGTCGAGTTTTATAAAACGATCTTCGAGTTTTATAAAACGGCTTCTCGAGTTTTATAAAACGATCCTCAAGTTTTATAAAACGATCTTCGAGTTTTATAAAACGATCTTCGAGTTTGATAAAACGGCTTCTCGAGTTTTATAAAACGATCTTCGAGTTTTATAAAACGATCTTCGAGTTTTATAAAACTGCTTCTCGAGTTTTATAAAACGATCTTCGAGTTTTATAAAACGGCTTCTCGAGTTTTATAAAAAGATCTTCGAGTTTAATAAAACGGCTTCTCGAGTTCTATAAAACGATCTTCGAGTTTTATAAAACGATCTTCGAGTTTTATAAAACGGCTTCTCGAGTTTTATAAAACGATCCTAGAGTTTTATAAAACGATCTTCGAGTTTTATAAAACGGCTTCTCGAGTTGTATAAAACGATCTTCGAGTTTTATAAAATGATCTTCGAGTTTTATAAAACGGCTTCTCGAGTTTTATAAAACGACTTCTCGAGTTTTATAAAACGATCCTCGAGTTTTATAAAACGATCTTCGAGTTTTATAAAACGGCTTCTCGAGTTTTATAAAATGATCCTCGAGTTT